TTTTTTAGACTAAGAGCTACAAAGCTGCAAAATACAAATAGAAGGCGTTATCTGGCGAATGTAGAGAAGGTTGAAGATCATAGTTCATGATCTTCAGAGGTGGGATTGAAAGTAGATACTAGATAAACTTCCATTTTTGTATTATGTACACCATTTTAGTAATTAAGTAAATAAGTTAGCTCTTATTGATAGAGATCAATAAAAAAGTTTAATGAAGACTACGTATGTTTGGTTGTATCAAAGGATGTATTCAACAGAAGCTAACATGGACCCTGAACAATGTCCTTTGTCTGTCCTGTTTTCCCTGAAAGTTTAGACCAAATACAATTTGTACCAAGAAAATGGTTTTTATACTAGTTATAGTTTCATGTAGTTAGCTCAATGATAGGAACAGATTTACAAGTTTACAGGAGTTCTTGAAACTCGCTTGCCCCCCGTCCCCCTTATTTTATCATGGAGTCTTATATAATCGTATTATAATGTCCTTAATACAAAACTACTTGAAGCATCTACTTGGAACATAAAAGCTGGTCGTGATGTCCGGTGTTTCAAGGGTGCTTTTCCCCAGACAATTCTTGCTGATAAACCAGTGAATCTCCTACCACAGTACCTGGCGGGAGTCTCTGAAGGGGAAAAAGAAAATCAATACCTTTCAGCGCGAGTGGCAAAGCTTTATTTAGGGGTCCCACATTAGTGCCACAAGTTATCAACACAGATAAAATATCCTTGAGTCTAAACATAAGTCGGAAGCTCCTCTGTGTTTTTCTGCAAGAAACAGATTACTGCAAAACTGGCTGTCAAAGTGGTAAATGGCAGAGAGATAATAGTTCTATCGCCAGAGTAACTTTCAGGACACCTCCTGACTAGTGATATGAGCAATAAATGTGGTTAGAGGTGGGTAATGTCACTATCTTTGGGCAAGCTCAAAGAAGAATTATCCAAAGAAAGAAAAATCTCTTGTGGTCCCAGTACTTAACTCGCAGTGGAGTTATTTTTTTTTTTCCTGGGTCTCATGATATTTTGGAGGTTTGTTCCAATTGCCAAGCCTAGGAGAATATTTAAAGATGCGTGGAACTCCACAAGCCTCCATTACAATTTCGTCAGATACACTTAAGATGTGGGGAAGTCTAAGGTAATCGGGTTGGAGAGATGGAATGTCTAACTTTTGGAAGCCAAAGAAGATTATCCAAAGAAGAAAAATATCTTGTGGTCCAGACTTACTCGTACCTGGGTCTCATGATATTTTGGAGTTGTTCCAATTGCCAAGCCTGGAGATATTTAAAGAGGCGTTGAACTCCAGCCTCCAGACAATTTCAGCAAGATACAATTAAGAGGATGTGGGGAAGTCTAGGTAATCGGGTTGTAGAGATGGGAATTGTCTATCTTTGGGCAAGCCAAAGAAGATTATCCAAAGGAAGAAAAATATATTGTGGTCCATGACTTACTCACAGTGGAGTTTCCTGGGTCTAATGATATTTTGGAGGTTGTTCCAATTTGCCAAGCCTGGGTAGATATTTAAAGAGAGGCGTGGAACTCCCAAGCCTCCAGACAATTTCGGCAGATACATTAAGGTTGTGGGGAAGTCTAGGTTTGGGAATAGGCCTCACATAAATGTGTATATCTCCCTCTGAATGATGCGTAGAATGTATCAATATATAGGAACTGGGAGAACCCTAAAAGGATAGCAAGTAATAGCATCATTATCTCAAGACCTGCTATGCCAAACCATGACAGGTTATATATGTTACATATAGTTGACAATTCCTTCACCATTTTATAAAGCACAGGGTAGTTGGCTGAATATAACGATTCATAAAGGGCCATTAGGAATATCAAAGAAGAGGTTGTGTGTGCATATGAATCTCTTTAGATTCCTGCCCTGGCTGGATTACATACTAGCCATACCCACCTAGCATTGTCTAGTTGGGCTCCTCAGCCCATATACTACACTGGTACCAATGTTTTTTACATTGAAATTTTGATGCATAGCTCTTTATGCCTATAATATTTGTGTACAACCCCTGCATGGTGGTGTTTCCTATGTGCCTTTGCTGCATATACACTAGACCGGTGTCATTGTCTGTACAGCACAACCATACTCATGGCCCGGTCATGACATCCTTCTTTTATATAATTTTTTTGTTTTAGGTCAATTCCTTGGTATTTGTCTCATTTTGTGGTGATGGCTAACTGTGGTATTTACCTAAATGTCTAAACGTGCATAATTTGCAATAAAGCATAATTTTTTGATACATTTTTGGGTATCGCTTTCTGTCCATTATGTAACCGCTTTTTCTTTGTGAATTTCTTTTCACATCCCCCCTTCTTTGCTCTGTTTGTTTTTTGGTTACTTGGCAGATAAAATGTATTCAGCAATAGTGATTAAATATGTATGACCTCATGCTCTCTTGTTATTAGCCATTAGGAATATCCCTAGATATGGCAACTTGACCATGGTGGACACAATTTAGGTTTTTACACACTGTAGTCTTGAAAGTTTAGAGAGAATGAGGAAAGAAGCATCTGGGAAAGTAGTAGCAGTTTTTTTTTGGGTGGAGGCATCACCTTGTTTATGAGAAAAAGTCTGAAAACTATGACCAGACCTTGGTCCCAAGCAGACAGCAATTCCACAGCCTGCCCAAAAAAACATTCTTTACCACAGCACATGGAAAAACTTGAAAAGACTGAGCTACAGCATCAGAAGGGGCACATGGGATCAACATTGTGCCGGCCAAGAACAGGAAATTCGAGGCCGTTTTATGGGGGGCACACACAATGTTTTGCACAGGTCAACACATCTGGACACATCTGAACCATGGAAAAAAATAACCCCTGGTCTATTTACAGTAACTTTGCTTTCTGCAATCAAATACAGATGTCTATGTCGTAATCAGAATCTTTTGTGAACTGAAGTGGAAATGTCAAAAGTGTACGGTTGATAGAGCTGCAGAAGCCATGTGATGATATCAAGACAGGATGGAACAAAATCCCTTAAGAGGGTTTCCAACACCATGCCAAACTCACTTTAAAATATTCTGTCCCTGAGTGCACATGGCTCCTAATAAAAAAAGGACAATATCTGCTGAAAAAATTATTATATAAAAATCAGATTCCATATTAACATTTCTGGCCCCTGAATGGACATGGCTCTAATAGAAAAGAATTTTGGTACAGTATCTGCTGAAAAATTTGTTTAATGAAAAATTCAGGTTAATAACTCAACCATGTGGTTCCACTTCCTTTTTATATTTCTATAAAGCATTCAAAATATCTTTGTTCCTCAATGTATAGACAAACGGGTTGAGCATTGGAAACCAACCGCCATATAAAGCAAGGTCAGCAACTTGTCCAGTTCCTTAGAACTTTCAGACTCTGTTTGCCCGTTACAATATAATGACTGGACCATAGAACAATATTACCGTGGTGAGGGGGAGGTACAGCTGGAGTAAGCTTTTACCCGTCCCTCCGAGGAATTAATTTTCAGTATGGTGGAGATGATGAAAAAATAGGAGGTCATAATTAGCAAAAAAGGAAAAGATGCCAAAAGTACATCTTGACATGTCATGAGTATATATCTGCCTGTAACATCACTAGAGGCTATTTCATACAGGGCTTTCTGATCACAAAAGAAATGGTCAACCTTTTGTGTGAGACAGAAGGACAACAGAGATGCAGATAACGCATTGATTGCTGCATTAGTCACAGATATAAGCCAAGTGGACAGAGCCAATGAAAGGCATACATCTTTACTCATCAGTAAGGAATATTGCAATGGTTGACAGATGGCTACATATCGGTCATAGGACATGGAGGTCAGTAGAAATATATCACAAGAACCTGACAATGAGAAGAAGTACACCTGAGTCATACAGGAAGAGAAAGACATCCAATGGTCATGTGTTAGGAGTATGGAGAGAAGTTTTGGAAGAGTAGCTGAAACAAATATAACATCACTAACAGCAAGATTACTCAAGAAGAAATACATTGGAGTATGGAGCCGGGGAACCAGACCCACCAGTAGAGCAATGGTCATGTTTCCAAGAAATGTCGTCAGATACATCAATAGAACTGAAGTGAGAAGGAGAAATTGTCCAGTTTCAGAGATAAGAAATGCTGAAATGAACATGTTTCCTGTACTGTTCGAGCATTCCTCTATTTCCCTGCATGAAAAATATAGTTGTTACATAGTTACATAGTTAGTCTGGCTGAAAAAAAGACAAAAGTCCCTCCAGTTCAACCATAAAAAAAATGCAAAATTGAAAAAAAAAATAACATTTTATTTCTTCAGTAAATAACTTTGCAATGCACAAAAATAATAATTTTAGTGTCGTTTTAAACAGAAAAAAATGACGCAATAAAATGTGATTTTTTTAACTATAGTAACACCATTTAATTTTAAACTAACACTCGTCAAAAGAAAAAAAAGTGTGTTTTGTTTAGTTTGTTGCATTTTATTGTCCGAGCGTTGTGAAAAGTTTACAAAAGTAAAACCTTGTTTGTTCTTACAAAAAGCAATTATCTTGTTATTTTGAAGTGGTTCTGAAGTCCAGACATTTTTACCTTAACCTCCCTAGCGGTCCTGATTATGTCCATATTTCTGTGCTCAAAGCGGTAAATTTTTTTGCATGGAAATATGTATTTTTTTTTTATTCAAGGCCTGTAATTTTTAGGAATAAACTCACTGAAATCTGTCCGAACAAGAGTCTAGTAAACATCCCGGGTAGGATAAAACTTGAAACATGAAAATAAATAAATTATAATATATTAAATAATCATATAATAAAATAATAATAAATTTAATTCAATAATATAATCAAACCAAAAACACTGAAATGTGAAATATAGCGCCAAGTTCGCACATCACTGAGCAAAGTCGCAGAATCGTTTTCAGTGTCTGATGAGGAATTTCCCCCACGAATCATTATCACTCAATTCTGCAAGTGGTTCTGATTTACTATCACTGTTCTCTAGCCGGTCTAAAACCGCTTTTGACCTAAAGGGACGCTTTTTGGACGCCATGGACGTTTCTCAGTTTCCAGGCAGAAAGAACAGTAAAAATGCAGACAGGGCGCCGGACAAAGCACTCGGGACAAAATGTATGTGAAATGGTTTGATACAGTAATGGAATACTATGTGATTTTAGTGTATTTAGTGAATGTCACCTTTTTAAATTTTTTAATTTCCTGCCAGTTCCCTCCCCCGTACGTCCCGACGTCGCAGGGAATGGAACCCGGAAGACGGATGCCGGCATCGGCCGGAGGAGATGGCTGGGGACGCTGCAGGGGGGACATCGCGGGAGCGCAGGACAAGGTACAGTAAGTAATCGAGGGATCCCAGGGCAATGCTGCAGTGTATTCCTGAGTGTAGCTTGGGGGGGTTTACCGCTTTTGGCACTGAAACTCTACCCCGAGCTACACTCGGGAATACCGCCAGGGGGGGGTTAGTATAACGTTCCATGAATTTATCCTAACAGCAGCACTGACAGTCTGGAAGGGAGTGGTTCTAGATGTAGTAGCAGATTTAAATACAATACCAATTTGATACCAAACTTCAGCTCAAATTTTATATGCAGTTACAGCAACGTTTTTTTTTTTTTTCTTAAAAAATAAAGGTTTTACATGAATAAATAAAAGCTGATCCCCATGGCAGTGGAAAATGGATTGTCTCATTGATGTAAACTGATACATTCTGCTGGAGAGCTTGTGCTTTTGAAAACTAGCAGCCTTGCAGGCTGGATCACCAAATGAAAATAGAAGAAAGAAAGCCTAAACAATAAAACCAATGCAGCCATCACATCTAAGAATTGATAAGTTGCAAATATAATAAATGTTTGCTTTTGGGTCTATTACTGCTTTCAATAGTTACATAGTTAGTCTGGCTGAAAAAAGACCAAAGTCCATCCAGTTCAACCATAAAAAAAAAAAAAGTTATAATCCTACACCCACAGTTGATCCAGAGGAAGGCAAAAAAACCAGCAAAGCATGATTCATCGATGCCAATATTCCCTCCAAGTCTAAGTCTTGGAGAGCAGCTCTCAGCCTTCGAAAATTAGCTCTTTTGAAATTGAGCGTTTTTATTTCTCCCCTTTAAACAACAACGATTGCATATACCCAGGGGCGGACTGACAACTCATGGGGCCCCCGGGCAATAGGGGATCATGGGGCCCCTGTGTCCTTGCCCAAACTTAAAAAAGCCTATGAAAAAGGTACCAGGGGCATCTCATGGGGCCCCCTACTGACCCCGGACCCTCGGGCAGTGCCCGAGCTTCCAAATGGTCAGTCCGCCCCTGCATATACCTATATTACACATTGTAGAAAAATGTAAAAATACACTTAATGTATTACATTGTTAAACAGCAGAAATGAGTTGGGTTTTCATATGCACTTCTGCTTCCTTCTGCTCGATTTCAGTACAGTAATGAATTCCCTAAGGGAACCTACGCTTCAATCGTATTTTTAAGTATTTAAAAAAATAGCTTTTACACAACAGGATTATAGCTGAAAATCTTTTTTTGTTTTTTTTTGGCAAACTTTTTATTTTGGAATGGACAGCAAGTATTACCTGACAGCATGTCACATACTCAGCAGATCACAAATATGTGGCTATACGGTGATGAGATATATAAAGAACATCTGTGGCCCAAGGGAAGACAGAGATGGCACCTCAAGGGGATTAAGATACAACGTAAATTTTGTTGGAAATAATGAATGCATTGGAGAAATAAACAATAAAGCTAAAAAAAAAAACAAAACATATTTAGAAGCAAATCTAATTCAGCCTGACTTTAGGTGCATTTAGGCTCCATACACACTGGATGTTTTAACAAGGCTGGTAAAGTTAGCTGTGTAAAGTCATGTTAAAAATGTGAGTTTTCAGTGTTTTTTAACATTTCTATATTAGCATCTAGTTTTTCAGGTTTACATTTTTTAGGTTTTTTTGGCCAAAAAATATAAAAACATTTTTGGTCAAAAAAGGCCAAAAATGTTGGTTTGCCGCAATATGCTGCGTTTTGCCCTGTTTTTCAGCATGAGAGTTTTTACAGCTAAAAAACTCCTCTAGAAACCCACTAGTCCTGGGGGTTTTTTTTCCAGCCAAAAAAACGTCCCTGACAAAAAACGTTGATTCCAGTCTATGTGTGCTTGGACACTTAGGATAACATGCTGGGGGGTTTACTGGCTGTAGAAAAAAACATCAAAAGCCAAAAACAGCCGCTGTAAAAACGTCCCGTGTGCATGAGGACTAGGACAAGATGACCTGGATTTGGGTTTTCAGTAGCTATGGGTGCTGGTAGTACTGTTGTCATTATTATTATACAGGATTTATGGCGCCAACAGTTTGCTCAGCGCTTTACAATATAACGGGAGACAATACAGCAACAATACAGTTCAATACAAGAGGGATAGGAGGGCCCTGATCCTGGGAGCTTACAATCTAAGAGGGGAGGGGCTAGTGGTACAAAAGGTAGTAACTGTGGGGGATGGACTGAAGATTCGGTTATTAGCTGAAGGTGGGATAGACTTCCCTGAAGAGATAGGTTTTCAGGGTAGAGTAGGCGATAGTCGGATAGATTGGGGTAGAGAGTTCCAGAGGATGGGGGAGACTCTGAAGAAGTCCTGGAGGAGGAGGCAAGGGAGCTAGAGAGCAGGAGGTCATGGGAGGAGCAGAGAGTACAGTTTGGGTGATATTTGCAGACAAGATCGGTGATATAATTTGGCGCAGAGTTATAAATGGCTTTACATGTGATTGTTACTGTTTTGAATTTTATTAGTTGGGCAATGGGAAGGCGCGCTCCCAGCACAAAGACAGGTATGCAAATATGCGGTCCCACAGAAAAAAGCCCAGTTCCGCATATTTGTGTTACGTCGGCGTCAAGGGGTTAATAGATGTGAAAGGTTAAATGATCTTTTTTCTTCATTAGGTACCACTGCAATCTTCTTCTATGCGTCCTGAAGAAGAAATAATGAGAAACGCGTTGCCCCCGTGAGGAGCTATCTGCACAGATTATTACGTTGTGATAATGTGCAGTGAGTCACATAGATAACTATGATAACATACAGTCAGGTCCATAAATATTGGGACATCGACAAAATTCTAACATTTTTGGCTCTATACACCACCACAATGGATGTGAAATGAAACGAACAAGATGTGCTTTAACTGCAGACTGTCAGCTTTAATTTGAGGGTATTTACATCCAAATCAGGTGAACGGTGTAGGAATTACAACAGTTTGCATATGTGCCTCCCACTTGTTAAGGGACCAAAAGTAATGGGACAGAATAATAATCATAAATCAAACTTTCACTTTTTAATACTTGGTTGCAAATCCTTTGCAGTCAATTACAGCCTGAAGTGTGGAACGCATAGACATCACCAGACGCTGGGTGTCATCCCTGGTGATGCTCTGCCAGGCCTCTACTGCAACTGTCTTCAGTTCCTCCTTGTTCTTGGGGCATTTTCCCTTCAGTTTTGTCTTCAGCAAGTGAAATGCTCAATCGGATTCAGGTCAGGTGATTGACTTGGCCATTGCAGAACATTCCACTTCTTTCCCTTAAAAAACTCTTTGGTTGCTTTTGCAGTCTGCTTTGGGTCATTGTCCATCTGCACTGTGAAGCGTCCAATGAGTTGTGAAGTATTTGGCTGAATATGAGCAGATAACACGAAATCATAAATTATAATTTAATAAATAATCATAAAAATAATAATATAATAATAATAATAATACATTTATTTCAATAATATCAAACCAAAAACACTGAAATGTGAAATAGAGCGCCAAGTTCGCACATCGCTGAGCTCAGTCGCAGAATCGTTTTCAGTGTCTGATGATGAATTTCCCCCACCAATCATTATCACTCAATTCTGCAAGTGGTTCTGATTTACTATTGCTGTTCTCTAGCCGGTCTAAAACCGCTTTTGACCTAAAGGGACGCTTTTTGGACGCCATGGACGTTTCTCAGTTTCCAGGCAGAAAGAACAGTAAAAATGCAGGCAGGGCGCCGGACAAAGCACTCGGGACAAAATGTATGTGAAATGGTTTGATACAGGAATGGAATAATAT